TAAGAAAAGAATATACTTCTATAGAAAAAACAAACAAAGAAGGAAAGAAAGAAAGAATATACTTCTATAGAAAGAAACAAAGAAACAAAAAAAAAAGAATATACATCTATAGAAAAAAAACAAAGAAGGAAAGAAAGAAAGAATATACATCTATAGAAAAAAGAAATAAATAAATAAAGAAAAAAATACATCTATATAAAAACGAAAGAAAGAAAGAAACAAAGAAAGAATATACATCTATAGAAAGAAACAAAGAAACAAAAAAAGAAAATATCCATCCATAATCCATAATCCTTTTTTTTATTTCTCTCTCTCCAGGTGCGAACCGAGCACGGATTTTTGACCAACGAGACCAGAACTTCCCAGCTGGTGAATGAAGTTGAGCCTTATCAGTATTCAGCTGACCTTCGAAGTCCTGCATCGCTAAGGTGAAGTTTCTCAATCTTAGGTCTCTTTGTTTCACTTTGTTTCGTGATTTTGGTGTTTTTTTTTTACTCTATTTGTTTCACTTTGTTTCGTGATTTTTACTCTATTTTGTTTCACTTTGTTTCGTGATTTTGGTTTTTTTTTTTACTCTATTTGTTTCACTTTGTTTCGTGATTTTGGTGAAGTTTTTTTTTTTTTTTACTCTATTGTTTCACTTTGTTTCGTGATTTTGGTGTTTTTTTTTTACTCTATTTGTTTCACTTTGTTTCGTGATTTTGGTGTTTTTTTTTTACTCTATTTGTTTCACTTTGTTTCGTGATTTTGGTGTTTTTTTTTTACTCTATTTGTTTCACTTTGTTTTCGTGATTTTGTTTTTTTACTCTATTTGTTTCACTTGTTTCGTGATTTTGGTGTTTTTTTTTACTCCTATTTGTTTTCACTTTGTTTCGTGATTTTGGTGTTTTTTTACTCTATTTGTTTCACTTTGTTTCGTGATTTTGTTTTTTTTACTCTATTTGTTTCACTTTGTTTCGTGATTTTGGTGAAGTTTTTTTTTTTTTTTTACTCTATTTGTTTCACTTTGTTTCGTGATTTTGGTGTTTTTTTTACTCTATTGTTTCACTTTTTTCGTGATTTTGGTGATTTTTTTTTTACTCTATTTGTTTCACTTTGTTTCGTGATTTTGGTGAATTTTTTTTACTCTATTTGTTTCACACTTTCGTGATTTTGGGTGTTTTTTTTTACTTCTATTTGTTTCACTTTGTTTCGTGATTTTGGTTTTTTTTTTTTACTCTTATTTGTTTCACTTTGTTTCGTGATTTTGTTTTTTTTACTCTATTTGTTTCACTTTGTTTCGTGATTTTGGTGTTTTTTTTTACTCTATTTGTTTCACTTTGTTTCGTGATTTTGGTGTTTTTTTTTTTACTCTATTTGTTTCACTTTGTTCGTGATTTTTTTTTTTTTACTCTATTTGTTTCACTTTGTTTCGTGATTCTGGTGAAGTTTTTTTTTTTTTTACTCTATTTGTTTCACTTTGTTTCGTGATTTTGTGTTTTTTTTTACTCTATTTGTTTCACTTTGTTCGTGATTTTGGTGTTTTTTTTTTTACTCTATTTGTTTTCACTTTGTTTCGTGATTTTTGGTGATTTTTTTTACTCTATTTGTTTCACTTTTGTTTCGTGATTTGGTGTTTTTTTTTACTCTATTTGTTTCACTTTGTTTCGTGATTTTTTGGTGAATTTTTTTTACTCTCTTTGTTTCACTTTGTTTCGTGATTTTTTTACTCTATTTGTTTCACTTTGTTTCGTGATTTTGGTGAAGTTTTTTTTTACTCTATTTGTTTCACTTTGTTTCGTGATTTTGGTGATTTTTTTTTTTACTCTATTTGTTTCACTTTGTTTCGTGATTTTGGTGAATTTTTTTTACTCTATTTGTTTCACTTTGTTTCGTGATTTTGTTTTTTTTTACTCTATTTGTTTCACTTTGTTTCGTGATTTTGGTGAAGTTTTTTTTTTTTACTCTCTTTGTTTCACTTTGTTTCGTGATTTTGGTGTTTTTTTTTTTTTTACTCTATTTGTTTCACTTTGTTTCGTGAGTTTGTTTTTTTTTTTTTTTTTACTCTATTTGTTTCACTTTGTTCGTGATTTTGGTTGAATTTTTTTTTTACTCTCTTTTTTCACTTTGTTCGTGATTTTGGTGTTTTTTTACTCTATTTGCTTCATTTTCTTCGTGATTTTGGTGGTTTTTTACTCTATTTGTTTCACTTTGTTTCGTGATTTTGGGTGAATTTTTTTACTCTCTTTGTTTCACTTTGTTTCGTGATTTTTTGGTTTTTTTTTACTCTATTTGCTTCATTTTTTCGTGACTCTATTTGTTTTTTTGTTTTCGTGATTTGGTGAAGTTTTTTTTACTCTATTTGTTTCACTTTGTTTCGTGATTTTGGTGTTTTTTTTTTACTCTATTTGCTTCATTTTCTTCGTGATTTTGGTGTTTTTTTTACTCTCTTTGTTTCACTTTGTTTCGTGATTTTGGTTGAATTTTTTTTTTTTACTCTATTTGTTTCACTTTGTTTCGTGATTTCGGTGAAGTTTTTTTTACTCTATTTGTTTCACTTTGTTTCGTGATTTTGGTGTTTTTTTTTTACTCTATTTGTTTCACTTGTTCGTGATTTTGGTGTTTTTTTTTTTACTCTATTTGTTTCACTTTGTTTCGTGATTTTGGTGTTTTTTTTTTACTCTATTTGTTTCACTTTTGTTTTCGTGATTTTGGTGTTTTTTTTTTTACTCTATTTTGCTTTATTTGTTTCGTGATTTGTGTTTTTTTTTTACTCTATTGTTTCACTTTGTTTCGTGATTTTGGTGTTTTTTTTACTCTATTTGTTTCATTTGTTTCGTGATTTTGTGTTTTTTTTTTTACTCTATTTGTTTCACTTTGTTTCGTGATTTTGGTGTTTTTTTTTACTCTATTTGTTTCACTTTGTTTCGTGATTTTGGTGAAGTTTTTTTTTTTTACTCTATTTGCTTCATTTCTTCGTGATTTTGGTGTTTGTGTGTTCGTCTTGTTGGTGAAGAAGGGAAATGGGATTGTGTAGAAAGATTTCGATTAAAGAGATGCGTTGTGGTTATTTAGATGATAGATCAAGCCAAGGCAAATTTCACCCAATCCTACCTCTCTACTCAGTCTCACCCAAGACAAATCCAGGCCACCCCTTATCCAACCTACCCAACCCAAGCCAGTCTCATCCATATCCATCTCTAACCAACCCAAGCCATCCCATCCCACCCTATACCGTCCCAACCCCACCTCAACCAACACCCATCCCCAACCAACCCACCCTTACCCACCTCCAACCCAACCCATTCCACCCATCCCCAACCACCTACCTCCAACCAACCCACCCCACCCAATCCAACCCACCCCTACCCCAATCCAAACCCACCCCTACCCCATTCCCAACCCACCTCTAACCCACCTAACCCCACTTCAACCCATCCCTAACCCACCTCCAACCCCACCCATCCCACCCCACCCCCACCACCCCCCTCCAACCCCACCCCAACCCCACTTCAACCCCCCTACTACCTCCAACCCAACCATCCCCACCCCCCCAACCCCAACCCCAACCCAATCCCCACCCAACCCCAACAACCCCAACTCTTAACACACTTTTTTCCCCCCCCCAACTGACAACAGATTCTACCGCGCCTTGGATCTGGAGTCCTGTCTCTGGCGCTGGGTCGCTTACTACACCATGTCCGAGTTGGTGACGCAGTGCGGAGGCGTCACCACGACCGACGGCCAGGTTTTAGACGTCGTGCAGAGTTACGTCAGCGTCGCCGTCCCCCTCTACGTCTCTTACATCTTCCACTCTCCCGTCGCTACAGGAGGCTGGCAACACACCGATCTCACGACGCATCTTCGGTTTGTGGTCGTCGTTTTGTGTGGGATAAGATGGGATGTTTTTTTTTTTGAGAAACTCTTCTCTTAGTTTTTTTTTTGAGAAACTCTTCAGTGGATTTGTTATTTATTTCGTAAATTATTTTTTTTTGAAAACTCTTCAGTGGATTTGTTATTTATTTCGTAATTATTTTTTTTTGAGAAACTCTTCAGTGGATTTGTTATTTTTCGTAAATTATTATTTTTTTTAGCTAACTCTTCAGTGGCTTTGTTATTTATTTCGTAAATTAGTTTTGCTTTGAGAGAGTAAAAAAGACTGTTCTTAAATAATAGTTGAAATTACGAATATCAAATGCATTTTTACGTTCATGGTTAGGTCTGGTTATCATAGATCAAAGTTATGCTGAGAAAATGAATGAGAGAGAGAGAGAGAAGAGAGAAGAGAGAGAGAGAGAGAGAGAGAGAGAGAGAGGAGAGAGAGAGACAGACAACAGACAGACAGACAGACAGACAGACAGACAGACAGACAGAGAAAGAGAAAGAGAAAGTAAGAGAAAGAGAAAGAGAAAGAAAGAGAAAGAAAAAGAGAGAAAAGAGAAAAAGACAGACAGAGACCCTAACACGCCCAAAACCACCCGCAAAACACCCAAACCCACGACCCTAACCCCCCCCCCTTAACCCTTTCTCCAACCCCCACAGGCTGAGCTTCGTCTACGACACCTCTATCCTCTGGCACCAAGGGATAGGAGCCCCAGCGACCAGTGAGCTCGACGGCCACCTCTATCCAACGGCCATGAGGATAAGGGAGGATGGGCGACTGGTGGTGTCCTTCCGTACTGAAGCGAGGTAGGAAGGAGAGAGAGGGGAGGGAGGGAAGGAGGAGAGGGAAGGAGAGGGAGGGAGAGAGGGAGGGAGACGGAGGGGGAGGGAGGGAGGGTAGGAAGGAGAGAGAGGGAGGGGAAAGAGGAGAGGGGGAGGGAGGGAGAGAGAGTGAGAGGGAGAGGGGAGGAGGGAGGGAGGAGGAGGAAGAGGGAGAGGGAAGGAGAGGGAGGGAGGAAGGGAGGGTAGGGAGAGGGGGAGGGAGAGAGGGAGGGAAGAGGGAGGGAGGGAGAGAGAGAAAATAGATAGATAGATGGATAGAATAGAATAGATAGATAGAGAGAGGAGGGGGAGAGAAAAAGAGAGAGAGGTTTGGGTTAGAAAAGTGTTTTTTTGATGGTGGGTGATTGAAAAATTCAATGTTAAATAAGGATATTAAAGATAAGTATCTGATGGTAAGAATGCCAGTCTTACTGATGTTAAGGATGACAACACACACACACACACACACACACACACACACACACACACACACACACACACACACACACACACACACACACACACACACACACGCACACACACCACACACACACACAAATACATGAGACATTCACAACAATATAGTTAAAAAAAAAACTCACTTGTCCCCTTTTCGGTCTAAGATTTCGCGGAATTTTCGTGAAGACGCACAAAGCCGTGACCCAGCGGAGTTCCGTGACCTCTGAGCAGCACCCTGACCTGACCTTCACCCTCGAGCTGCTGAGGTCACAGCCGACCTACGCGCAGCCGGAACAGCAGTGGCAGTTTGTGTCGGATCTCGCGGTGGGTGCAGCTGTTCTGTCGTTTGGAAATCTTAGTAATTTTGCTTTAATTTTAATGTTAAGTGGTATGGGGGTTATAGTGTTAGGGTTGGATGATTTAGTTATTATGGTCATTATGCTATTGTCTTTATTATTGTCGTACTGATATCGTTATTAGCATTACTTTCTTACATCACTATTAGCCTTACAATCATCATCATTACTCTAATCACTCTTTTATGCATACTTTGCACATAAAAGCATATTTTATATTCAATTTATTATGTACATTTAATACATTTATTCATATATCTACTAAGTGAAGGACGAAACACATCCTTATCTGGTGCAGTGGTTAGCGTGTTGGTCTAGCAATCTTGCGGACCTGCGTTCGATCCCACGCGCGGCCAGTGGATGGTCACCCCGGCCATTCCTTGCACACAGGGGGAGATTTAGAAGCAAAATAAAAAAAAAAAAAACAGACTCGGTCCGTGCAATAACAATGACGATTCGCTTATCACAAGTTAGCCCGCTGTTGCATATCATGGGATAAATTGTTTTTGTGTCGGAAAGGAATAATTATCGCTGTGCAATCTAATGGAAGACCGTTTTAATAAGGGGAATAAAATCTGCTACAACAAATAATACCCACTGTAACAAATGGAATTGAAACGAAATCTTAATCTTAATCTTATCCACCTCCTTTCTCCTCCTTCTACAGGTACGCGACTACAGCGGAAAGTACAAGGTCCTCCTCGTTCCCTGCACGGTGACCGAGGACGTGGCCTACTCGCTCCCTCTCCTGTGCAACCCTCGGGATCCTGTCGAGTTCGACCTGCAGGTAGGGTGGTCTTTGTGAGGTCCTTTTCTTATTATTCTTTTATTATCATTGTTTCTTCCTTTTCTTTTTATTATCATTGTTTCTTTCTTTTTTATTATCATTGTTTTTTTCTTTTCTTTTTTATCATTGTTTTTTTCTTTTATTTTCTATTATCACTGTTGTTTTCCTTTTCTTTTTATTATCAGTTTTTTTTGCTTTTCTTTTTTATTATCATTGTATTTTTTATATTCTTCACACGTCAATTTATTTTTGCTTGTGGGGATTTTATGGGAGTTGGAAGTGGTAGGAAAAAAGTTGGTCTTTTTTTTTTTGGAAGTGATAGGAAAAAATTGTTTTTTTTTATCTTATTATTTTTTTTATAACTTCTTATCTTTTTATTTATTTATTTATTTTTAGATAATCGTTAATACTGAACATGTTACACAGCTGAAAATAATTCTCCAGACTCAAGGAAACGATTCATTCATACTATTGTCATTTTTAATACCTAGATAAATATTCCAACCACCCACTCAACAAACCGACTATTCGAACACCCACACGCAAGCTAACCAACTTACCACCCACCCACCCACTCAACCTACCAACCCCACCCACCCACTTAAACTAACTACCACTTAGCCTACTACCCACTCACTAACCAACTCATTCACTCACAACCCATCCACTCAACCTACTACCCACCCATCCATCCACCCACCCATTAACCTTCCAATTAACCCACCCACCCATTAACCTTCCAATTAACCACCCACCCATTAACCTTCCAATTTAACCCCAATTCCACCTCAACCAACCCACCCACCCAAACCCTCAACCAACCCACCCACCCACCCTCACCACCCACCACACACACCCACCCACCCACCCACACATAACCTTCAAACCCCACCCACCCATCAACCTTCCAAACCAACCCACCAACCCACACAACCTACTACCCACCCATCCACCCACCCACCACCTTCCAACCAACCCATCCACCCACCCACCCCTCCTCCCACCCCCTCAACCCACTCACCCACCCACCCACTCAATCTCTAACCGCCTTCTCCCTCCCTCAGGTGCGCTTCCAGCAGGTGTCCGACCCCGTCCCCGAAGAGTTCACGCTTAGCACTATCTTCCACCTGATGCGCAGAAGGGAGCTCTGGCTGTCGGACCTCACCACGGACTTCGACACCGAGTCCGATGTCTCGTTTTATCCCGGTTCGTGTTTTTTTTTGTGTTGATCATCCTCTTTCTCCTTCTCCGTTTTCTTTTTTTTTTTTTGTTCTTCTTCATTTTTTTTCTTTTGTTGTTGTTCTCCTTCTCTTCTTCTTCTTCTCCTCCTCCTCTTCCTTTTCTTCTTCCTACTTCTTCTTGATGTTATCCTCTTTCTCCTTTTTTATTCTTCTTTCTTTTCTCTTTTTCTTTTTTCTTTCTTCTTCTTCCTTCTTCTTCTTCTTCTTCTTCTTCTCCTCCTCCTTCTCTTCTTCTTCTTTTCTTCTCTCCTCCTCTTTCCCCTTCCTTCCTTCCTTCCTTTCTTCTTCTTCTCTTCTCCTTCTTTTTTATTATTTAGTATAATTTTTTTTGTATTATTTCTGTTTGCTACTGTTGATTAATATCATTTTGATGTCATTGCAATGGAATTCTTGCAAAGAAATATAATCTGTTCTTTAAGGAATAATTATACTCCCTTCTCTCTCTCTGTCTCTCCTTCCCCTCTCTCGCTCTCCCCCCCCTCTCTCTCTCTCCCCTTCCTCTCTCTCTCTCCCTCCCCCCCCCTTCTCCCTCCCTCTCTCCCTTCCCACTCTCCTCTCCCCCCCCCTCTCTCTCTCTCCTCCCCCTCTCTCTCCCTTCCCACTCTCTGTCTCTCCTTTCCCTCTTCCTCTTTTTTCATATTTCATTCATCTATTCATTAACCGCCCACTATCTACCCTCAGGAGAGCGCATCTATGGGCGTGTGATGATCAACCCGGTACAGGCTTTGGGCGTCGGTTTCCACGTGACGCTAGAAAAGTGTTTCATCTGCACGGGCGTAGACGGGTACGTGCCCAAGTACGACCCGGGCGCGGAGGAGTACGGCTGCGTGGCGGACTCACCCAACCTCCTCCACAACTTCAAGATCATTGTGAGTCCCTCGTGGGCGTGGTGGGGGGGGGGTGGTTTGAAGGTGGGCGGGAAGGGGTGGATCTTGTCTTTAGAATTCGTCGTTGGGTTTGGATTTCCGAATAAACTTTCTCAGCGTGTTGAAGAATACCTAAAAATATACGATATATACGGAAAAACAAACAAACAAACAAAAAAAACACTACCATTACTCCGATATATTCGAAAAAAAAACACTACCTTTACCATATAAATGTGAGGACTCAAATTTCCCATAAATGAGGACTCAGATTTTTCTTAATTTTTCCCTTCCTTTTCCCGCCCTCCCAGGACAAAGGAGCCCCAGATTCCGTCAAATTCGAGTACCAAGGAAAAGCCTTCCATGCCCGCCTTGCTGCCGACGACGGGGAGCCTGACGTCATCGGCCTCCTGAACCAACCCGGTGCCGATGGCTTCTCGCTGGATTCAAGCCCACTGTTCGAGGTACTTTGGGGGTTTCGATTCCCTTATTCGTGGCGTTTAGTATAGATGCGGTGAATTTCCTTCGATACCTTATTCGTAGAGTGTCTTAGGTGACGCCGCGAATCTTATTATCATGTATTTCAAAGGAAGATTAGAGCCAAAGTGATAACGCACCGAGGTTTATTCATTCCTTTATTTCTTTATTATTATTATAATTATCATTTATATAATCTAATCGTACTTATCACGTGACCTCGAACCGCAGGTCGCGTACGGGCGCCAGTGGTTCGTCCACTGCATCTACACGGTGCGCTCCGAGGAGAACGCCGCCCGAGGAATAGGCAAGAGAGACGTGACGAGCCAGGGGCGCCTCCGCCACGCCGTCGCCGCCTTCGCCTCTCCTCAGGGGGCTTCGAGGAGGGCCAGGAGAGCCAGCCAGGAGCCGCGGGCGGGGGACAACGGGCGCGGGACCAACATGCACAGGCTGTCGCTACGGAACAGGCCATCGGGGAGCCTCGAGCCCGGAGTCACAGGCGAGGTCAGTCCTTTTATGCTGCACGGACACAGCCACGAGTGTCCGTGGTCGTGCGTGGAGACTGATTTTCAAGCGATCTCTCTCTCTCTCTCTCTCTCTCTCTCTCTCTCTCTCTCTCTCTCTCTCTCTCTCTCTCTCTCTCTCTCTCTCTCTCTCTCTCTCTCTCTCTCTCTCTCTCTCTCTCTCTCTCTCTACTCTCTCTCTCTCTCTCTCTCTCTCTCTCTCTCTCTCTCTCTCTCCCTCTCTCCTCTCTCCCTCCCTCCTCTTCTCTCTCTCCCTCCATTCAAACACTAATTTGTCTGATAACTTGTGCTTTTACTTCTTAGGCCAATTAGTGTATGGTAAAGTCAAGTAAAACAATTAATAGTGTATATCCTACCGCAAGAAATTTACAAGATATTTCAGTCTAGATTCGAATTCACTGGAACTTCGTATTGCTAATTCAACAAAAAGTTTCTCTTGTGTATTTCACGTGTGTATATCAATAAACATGTTATCATTTACACACCAGTCTATCAACAATAACGAAACGATACTTCACGCATTCACATAAAAACAATTCACAAAATAATAAAAAAAAAATAATAAAACAAAAACCTTTTCAGGATTCCCCCTTCCCTCTCGTGCCCTTACTGGTGGCACTGGCGTGTGTGGTGGCAGCGGGAAGCGTAGCGGCGGCGGTGGTGTTGGCAAGAAGACGCCAGGGGAAGATTCTCCCCCCGGGGTACATGACCGTGGCTGGAAATGGCACCGCGGCCACCAACAGGCACCGTGGCACTGTGGATCCCCGCTATTACCACACTCACGAGGATAATACTGAAGTGTAGGGACGTCGTGGCGTGTGTGTGTGTGTTCCTTTTTAGTGGTGTCGGATGTGGGAGGGAAGGAGGGTGTGTTGTGTGTGTGTTGTGTGTGTGTGTGTGTGTGGTGTGTGTGTGTGTGTGTGTGTGTGTGTGTGTGTGTGTGTGTGTGTGTGTGTGTGTGTGTGAGAGAGAGAGAGAGAGAGAGAGAGAGAGAGAGAGAGAGAGAGAGAGAGAGAGAGAGAGAGAGAGAGAGAGAGAGAGAGAGAGAGAGAGAGAGAGAGAGAGAGAGAAAGAGAAGAGAGAGAGACAGAGAGAGAGAAGGGAGAGTATAATTATTCATCAAAGAACAGATTATATTTCTTTGCAATCATATCACGGCGGAAGGAAAAGAAATATAGTGAGAAATACATTAAAAACAGTACATGGTTCCTAAGTGTAACACGTAAACGAAAAAGTGACTATTCTCAGTAACCTGCAACAAAGAAATTGAAAGATAAAAAGAAAAGAAAGAAAAGAAAAGAAAGAAAGAAAGAAAGAAAGAAAAAAATAAAAAAATCAGTGGAGTGGTTGTGGTCCGTACCGACGAAAGACAATAATAATAAAACAAACAAACAAACAGAAAGACGAAATAGACGACGTGGAATAAAAAAAATAAAGAAGGAAAGGAGAATTACAAGAAAAATAGACTTTCAACCAAGCAAAGGTCACTGCCAGTACCTTCGTGATGTGAAAATCGATCTTAACATTACTTATCTGTCACTGCCATTTTTGCTCATTATAGCACTTTCTTCCTCCGTAAAGGACCTCTCAGCTTTATGATATTATGTACTTAATCCTGTCGTTGGATTGTACTTAAAGTAGGTTTATTACATGTAACAATTACACGCGAAATCTTATAATTATAGGTTGTATTGTGCTTCTTACTTTTATTTGCATTTTTTTATTGCAATTTTTAGCTGTGCATATTCTTTCTTGGTCTCAATTTATTGCATAGAATACATCCAAGAACATGAATTTTTTGGTGTATGATATGTAGGAGAATTTAATAATCTATTAACTGTTCTAGATTAGTATCCTGAACTCTTGATATAAGTACGAAATGTAAAATATATGATGAAGAGTCTTATAAGGACCAATTTCCTATATTCTAGTTGTATTATAGTATTTCTTCAAGTGTCAGATTTGTTTTATTTCTAACAGACAGTCATTTTTGATAACTGGCAACACTGCATCGATTTCTCAATGATACTTTGGAGAGACAGTTATCAAATATTTCTAAATATGGTTTGTAAAAAAAAGAAAGAAAGAAAGAAAAAAAAAATATGTGCGTATTTTGTGAATGGATATGTGAACGTCTGCGTGACATGGCGTTCGTATTATGCGTCTGTGCAGCTTTATACGGATATGAAAAATATATATCTTACGAAAAAGGAAATGTGATTTTACTTAATTTTGGATGGGGATCATGGATCAATCACCAGTCATCAATCATGGTCATGATCATCGTCATGATCATCGATCATCGTCATCACCATCATCATCCATCATTCATGTCTCATCATCATCATCATCATCATCATCACCATCGCATCATCATCAGAGCAATAGGACTACTTATATTTTTCCCTTTCATACATTACAATGCAGCTATATGACTACATTACTATATCACCTACTCTTTATTTCACTTCTTGATCTTCATATCATATCGTTTTATCCATAATTCATCCTTACTGTTTACTTGTGTCACGGAAATCGAAGCTTTTGTCTTGTATTCTCTCTTTTTCTTGCAATTTTCACTGTCTCCTCAAACATATCTTCGTTTCTCTTAATTTCTCTCTCTATAGGTCTATGCTGTTCTTTGCAATGCTTATTTATTCTAGTTTATTCCGTTTATTAAACGTCTTTTGCCCCTTTAACTCTAGTAATTTATAATTGTTTTATAATCTTCAACTATCTCTTTTTCTCTCTTTTTCCTGTTTTGTTTTTGTGTCTCCTCCATATCACAGGGAAATTGTATCTCGTGTATTCAATAGTCTCGATTTTTTTTTTTTTTCAATTTTATATATGTTGGTTACTGCTTCTCTGATATGTCAAATTATAGGATTTAATATCGGTTTTATTACTTCTTATTCAAAGAAGTTTTCATTATGCATCCACCAACTTTCCTTCTTTCAAAAAAGAAAAAAGAAGAAAAAGAAGAATGATGCAAACTCAGTTTTTTACCGAATTTTCTCATCTAATTCTTCGCAAAAAGTTCATCATGAACAATAGGTAACAGAATGCAGACTGTTTGCAAACTGCACTCGGAAAATAATTTTGTAAAGGCGCATTTTAAACGGCATGTCTTCATGATATGATATATTTTCCTTAGTTAGGGCGAATAAATTTTTACATTTTCTTTTATACTCAAAAGGCATGTTCTTATAAAAGAAAATAATATTTAAAGGGGTAACTATAAGATTATTACCTTGTCTCTCCCGAATCAAATAATTTGCAAAATATGACTTAAACACACATTATATTGCTTTTTCCTTTTTACTACTCATAGAAAAAATGCTAATGATTGTGATCATAATGTTAATAGTTCAGTCGGCTTGCACAGTGTACGAGAAGGCCTATGAATTGGTCCATATGGCTATAGGCCTACATACAAACGTTGGTATCGTGGTAGCCATACCGGTTTTTGTCGTTCTTATTGCTATCATTATTGGCAATATTGATATTATTGTTTGTTATTATAACCGTCATTGCCATCATCAACCAATCTGTTTACTTTTGGTATCATTATTGTTATTATTATTATCATTTTTGTTACTCTTATTACTATCATTATTATCATTATAATCATAATCATTATCATTAATTCTCATTATAACTATTATTATCATTATCACTAGCATCATCGCTATCACATATTACTATCATTATTATTATCATTACTGTTTTATCATTATCATTATTGTTTTTATTATTATCATCATAATCATTATCGTTATTATTTTCATCATCATCAATTTCACCATTACTATTATTATCATTATTATCATCATCATTAATTGGCTACCATAATGAATATAATTCTTATCCTTTTATTGTCATTATTATTATTATTATTATTATTGTCAATTTCATCATAATCATCTTTATACCCACCTTCATTATTACTATAATCATTACCATAATGATTATTATTGTCATTATCATTATTATTATTATCATCATTATTATTAATCATAAAAAATAATGATGATGGCAATAAAAAATAATAATATTAATAATCATCTTTGTTATCATAATCATTATCACTATCATCATTATTACTATTAATTATTATGATTATTATTATTACCATTACTGTCATTATTGTTGTTATTGTTACTATTATTACAATTCTTATTTTTATCATCATCATTAATTACCAATTATTATTATTATTATTGACATTGCCATTAGTATTAGTATTACCAATATTGATATCATTATCATTATCATGATCATTTGCATAATGTTGATCTTGATCATCATTATTGTTATCATCTTCATCATCAAGAGTTTATTATTACCATCATTATCATTGTTATTTTTATCATTTATCGGTAATCATTATAATCGAGAATATCACTGTTATTATTAACCTTATCTTTAACTGCTGTTGCCGAAAATTATGATTTCCTACTTCACGACAAATCTCAAATCTCAAAAATTACAATTTACGACAAAATCTCAAAAAATTTTTACGACAAAAATCTCAAATCTCAAAAAATTACAATTTACGACAAAATCTCAAATCTCAAATTACAATTTCAAATTCAAATCTCAAAAATTTACAATTACGACAAATCTCAAACAATTACAATTTACGACAAATCTCAAATCTCAAAAATTACAATTTAAGATATTGTTCATTTCATTGTACTGAAAGAATTCCTCATTGCCCTAAACTCTCACATTCATGACGTCACACACAACCAGTCTTTCCATTATTCCCGATAATTCATAATAAATGATATGACTGCGCACTTACCGCAACAACACAATTAAAACCGCGTGCGTGTGTGATCAGCAGCTGTTCTCGGAAGTGGAAAAAACACCAACATGAAATTCTCCAAACTTGGGGAGATGGGAGAGCGACGTCAAAGGAGAAAAGACAGAGAAATGAGGAGAGAGAAGAGGAAGAGGTGAGAAGGAAGAGAGAGGAAGATGGAGAGCGTGAGGGAGAGAGAGAGAGAGAGTGAGAGAGAGAGAGAGAGAGAGAGAGAGAGAGAGAGAGAGAGAGAGAGAGAGAGAGAGAGAGAGAGATAGATAGATAGATAGATAGATAGAGAGAGAGAGAGCCGTGTCACGTGATAAAGGATTTTAACGGATTCGTGACGGACGTAGTTTGAGGCCATAATTCAGCGTGATTCCAGAAGCAAGTTATTTCAAGCGTGGGTGAAATAATTTGCTCTGATGCGGATACGACAAATGGGGTTATTATTACCATTATTATAATTGTTATTATTATCATTATTATAATTGCTATTATTATAATTGTTGTTATCATTGTCATCATTGTTACTATTGTCATTGTTATTATCATTATAATCATCATTACTATTATTATTATCATTATAATTATAATATTATTACTATCATTATATTACTATCATTATTATTATTACTATTATTGTCATCATCTTACAATAATCGTTTTTATCATCATCATCATAATCATTGTTGTTATTTATATTATTGGTTATAACTATTACTATCATCCTTTTTACTGTTATTCTTTATCATCATCACTAGAATTATCATAATACCATCATCATCATACAATTATTATTAAATGAAAAAAAGGACGAGAAGTAACAAAGAACAGGGCAGCTGTTCATAAAAAAAGTTAACAAGATCATATCTCATCGAAGGACAATGAAAAACAACAATTAAAACATTGAGGTGGATAACGATCAAGTTAATGACCAAGGGAAAAAAAGAAGACAAATTCGACAAAAAACAAAAAACAAAAAAAAAAACAATCTAATAGAAGATAGTTGAAAACAAAACAAAGGAAAGAAGAGGAAGAACAAACAAAGAC